TTCATTTTAGAAATTATCATCATGTTACTAGTATAGATTTTTTTTAAAAGATTTTAAAAGTAAGGATGAAAACAATTTTGCTAGAGTACCTATGACCCCAAAACATCCACCCCTGCATTCTTAATGGCAGACACATGCACAAAGTTCCCTGTGGGTTTGGTGGGGAGGGCAAGTATGTATCTAGCCAGATCCCCAGGCCACTTTACAAAGAAAAGAGTTTGTCTGCCCAGTTATCTTTGGATAGGCTAAAATATGGTGTCTTGACTGTACTCAGATTATGTCCCATTGTGATGGAGGTGTGCACCAGAATATTGTTATCTCTCAGAGCCTTGCTGATCAGGAATGGAAGGTCCTGGAACTCGTACTGCCTCAGAGGGAGGATTGTGGATTTTCTAGCTAGAGTGATACAGTGTAGAATTTAACGGGGATTCTCAGTTGTGTTTGAAAATTAGAAAGTTGAGAGAAAGGGTGACAGAGATGTGCACCAAGGACATTCAAGATTTACTGCAAGTAGCAGTAAAGGTCTATGAGAGCAATGGAGGCTTTCTTAAGGGAAAGTGGGAAGAGATGGGTATAGATGATGCTGATATTAATGGTTACACCAGACTACTGTTATTCTTATTATTATTATTATAGATTAAGGCTAAGTGCAGATGTTCAAAAAGCCCCTGGCAGAAAGTTGTCTACCACACCTTTCGTAAAGTGCTGTAAGTTAGAGCACATTCCAGCTGAACAGACTTGTGCTGTTCAGTGTGGGGGAACTGCCTGACTGATTTGGCCAAAGCCAGCAGGTGGGGGACACTACCACACACCTCCTAGGAGGCTGCTGGAGTGCCCCCTCCCCAGCCCTACCCCTCCCCATCATCTGAGGACTGTCAGAGAGAGAAGGGAAGAGAGGCAGGGGAAGGGAGTTTAAAACTGGGAAACCCTGTAATTCAGACTCATGAACTAGTGATTCCTTGTCTAGTAACAGAGAAGCCATCTGGGAAAGTGGAAGCGTGAAACAGTGGATGTGTACATGTGCATGAAAAGATGGGGGGAGGGGGTACAAGAGATGGAACTGCAGAAAGTTATTGCACTAAAGTAAGCAGCTCTGGTCAAGCAACTCCACTGACTTAAATGAAGATTTTTAGCCACATGTTTAAAAAAAGGCAGTGGGGTGCTACAGGAATGCTATCAGGAATGGCACTACTATCAGGAATATGTTTGAAAAGGGTACCATTTCCTCTCCACGGACTAGATAAACTATAAATTTTAAACCATGTTGAAGTGAAGCAGCTAATTCCTAGTATAATATGATTTAAAGAGCCTGCGTAGAAGCATAGAGATAAAGTAGAGTAGTATAACCTCCTCAAAAAAAAGTGTACTTGTTTCCACTGAAGTTCCCTCTTCACAGAAACTAATACTTCTTTCACTTCAGCCAAAATCTGGGTTACTTCATCTCTCAGTCCATGAAGGGTTAGTGAAAAGATAAAGAGAATAGGAAGACAATCCTTTCCATCAATATTTCATCAAATGTTAGAAGCAGAACAAACATGATTAATGATCTTTGTGATGGAAAGTCGTTAAGAAGATATCCACCAGTAATGCTCACTTTTTTTCTAAATGCTTTGTCCTCTGTGTCTCATTTCCACTTATATCAGAAGCAATGGCCATAAAACAGATCGTGGAACAATTTTGTAGAAAGTCCGAATCTTCTCTCACAACAGAGTAAAACAAGAGTAAATCTGATGATGTGGGACAGTATTAATCTGGATCTTAGAGGGGGAGGGATTTGTTTGTTTCGGGTTTTTTGCTGGTTGTGAGATACATTTTTAAAGTTTCATCCCCGTGCTTCCCCTAGCCAGTTCTTTCGGATCTCAGCTATTGTCCCCCTAGCCAAACAAAGGGAGTTTGATTATTTGAATATTTGCCAGTGTCTCTCTTTACAGCACTTATACAGAGCAATTACCACCTACAGGGCTTCGAATTTGTTAGACTTTTCATAGGACAGGATGGGTAGCTTGTTATTGTTTCAGCCTTATTGTGGAAGTTGCAGAGCATCTGTGGGGATTTGGGTGCTTAGTTACTTGGCTGAGCTTGAGTCCTGACGGGAAAACAGTTACATTGAATTATGGCAGAACAGCTGTAGATTGTCTTTAACTGACAAGGATTTTTTTCAGCTGTTTCTTTATGCTTGAGAAAGAGACTGATTAAAAAAAAAAATTGAAAGGAAACATTTTCACTTAGTTTCTGAATGCCTTATTTTGATTTGTTAGAAGCTCACATTAATTATAACTCCACCTACGTTATTGTGAATATTTGGAAAAGTTTAAAGAGTTCTGAAATTTTAGGTGGGATAGTCTGGAAAGCAAGCCTGCTAATTGCCTTCTGGATAGTCACTATTGTGCTCTCACCGCTTGCCAAAAGCAGTTTGTATATTCTGTGGCAAAGCGAAATTAACAACTATTGCAATTAAAAAAAAGAAATTAGAGGTTATTTGAAATAGCCAATGCAGTATCCACTGATCAAAGGTACACTTGAAGGCTAGGTACAGACATTCAGAAAATCCAAGGCAGAATCAAAGGTATGCGGTCTTCTATAAGTGGTGGTGTTCAGATCGATAGCAAACAGAATACACATTTGCCCTTTTTGTCAGGGTGGGGTGCAAATGTTAGACCAGGTTCCAGCATTTTAAAATCAGTGGATGTGCACTAAACTTCTGTTCTGTTAGAGGTATAGACCAGTTTCTGATCACTTGTACCAGTAAAAGTGTAATGTCTTGTACCTGGCTGAAGTACATTAACCAGTTGTTGGCAGAACAGAACAGCACATATTTTGTAGTCTTAGCTGGGTTGCTTTGGATTTTACCATTGTACCAGTTGTTAATGTAAACTCTGGTATAGATTATTTCAGATGCCAGGGACAAAACCTGAAATTACTATTGACTATAGTAAATGTTAAATCTTTAAGGACTGTCATACAGTTCTTAACACACAAATGAAAAATTTCTTCCCATGATTTTTTAATCTTGCTTCATTTAAATATGGTTCATCCTTTTTTGTCTTAATCTGGAATCAAATATCCATTGATCCAAGATGTTCCAAGTTTATAGCCTTTATTCTTTCTTGCTACCCTGATCCTAAAAAACACAGTACCACCTCTGTATTCTTTTTGTCAGAACTGGCACATTAGCTTGTCAAATACCATATATATATGTATATGCTTGAAAGAAATGAGAACATAACTGTCACTCCTCATTAACTTTCCAAGATTATGCTGAGGAAGAAAAATAAAACCTGAGATTCCCAAAGTTGCTTTAAAGGCCTTTTTTATAAAGTAAAGTTCATAGTGAGATCACTGTTTGGACAAGTTTATTATCTTACAGAACATGAGCAGTTTTTATGTGAACTTATTAATATGATCACTTCTCAGTTTCAGGTCAATTAGAATGAGAAAAATAGACCCTCTATCAGCCTACCAATCCATACACCTTGTGTTAATTGGAAGTTAAGGCCTTGGTAAACACTCAAGTTAATTCAGTCTAAACTCATGAGCAAAGCTAAATGTTTTTATAATTAAAATATGCAGATTGGGCTTATAAATACCAATGGTCCTTTTAAAGGGGAAAGACTTTTGATTTGTTAATTGTGGAAGTTAGCATCATCATATACCAGTTCACACAATTACATGCTAATTGCTTTTTACAATATAAAATCCCTACGATCAAATCCCACATAGGCTGTAGGGAGGTCTTCTATGTATTGCTCCCATTTATGAGAAGTTTTTAAAAGGCATCAAATTCAGAATTAAATTAGATTGAAATATTGTGATGGACCTGAAAGTATGTACATATTTAAATTCCAAGATGTTCTAAGTGTATAGCCTTTATTCTTTCTTGTTACCTTGGTCCTAAAAAAACACAATGCCACCTCTGTATTTTTTTTTTTGCCAGTACTGGCACATTAGCTTGTTAAATAACATTGTTTGCTGTCCAGATGACATGCGTGTGAGTCCTGCACACAAGAAATGTGTTTCAGAATTTAAATTTAAGAATTCTTCTTTAGTGAAGAAGGATGTTCACATTTTGGTGAACTGGGGCAGAGTAATGGTTATACAGATGGTTATTTTGCCAGTAGCTACGGGCACAGACAGAAGTGATAGTTTTCATCTGATTTGGCCACAGAAAACAGTCTATAGCCATGACCAAATGTAAGTGCACAGCTGCAGACTGCTTCAAAAATGACTGATTGGGTGAAAATCAAGGTCCTCATTGCATAAGGGGTCAGATGAAGACTTTTCAAAACATAGCATCTTCTGTAACTTCTGTCTGCTCTGTATATAGAATCCTTTTAACTAATGCTTAGAATGATTTGTGTGTACACAATAACTTTCTCAGTGGCTTCTCTTTTGCACAATCCTGAATAAAGTCATAATTGTGTTTTTATCTGTTGATATGGGTCCTTTGTTTCTCTCTGTCAACAAAGTTATTAAATTGATATCTCAAATTAAATACTGGGAGTTTCACAGAGAAGGAAAGAAAAATGTAATCTTTATTTTTAAATGATAAATATAAATATATTAAGGTTGATTTTTATTTAAATATCCCTATCATGAACATTTCTCTTTGAAGTTGAAAAATTGTGTATTGGGTAAAGGAATTTGAACACAGATATTTACAGAACACACAATCTAAATGCCATAATGAAAGGAACAAAAGCAGTACAGTCTACAGAGAGAGCCAGGGCAGGGTGATACCTTCAAGATCCATTCAGAAAGAAAGAAACTTGTAGGCTACAGTCTTAAAACACATAGTTCCCTGTATCTCCTCTGTAATTCTCTGTATTTTGGTTGCAAAGGTATTTTTTCCCCATTTTAGAAAAAATACTATCCTTAATGCATAGATTTTAAAGATGAGAGAGACCATTATGATTATATTAACTGATCTCCTACATAACATTGTTTCCTTGAAAACAAATTTTGTGTAAGTAGTCTCATTCTTTGCCTTTCTTGTTTTGAAGGGGTACGGATGCTGGACGGTGATGTTACAGACATGGTAGAAGCAAAGTCTCTTAGCCTTAATCCACAATATATCCACATCTACAGTGCCAGCTGGGGTCCAGATGATGATGGCAAGACTGTGGATGGACCTGCTTCTTTAGCACGTCAGGCCTTCGAGAATGGCATCAGAGCGGTATGTTTACATAACAACGTATGTCACGGATCTGTTCTATATGTATGCAAAGGCAAGAGACTAAGAAAACTGAAGTTCTTAAAACACATTATTAACAAAAAGACACTCTTTACTGTAAGAGGAAAAATAATTTGTATAGCTAGTGCATATTAAATCCTATCTAAATAAGCAAACTTTCTGCATTGTCATTTGGAATACATCATCCTCAGTGTCCTTTAAAACTTTGCCTTGAGATAATGTTGTCATCTACTAGTGAACACTAAAACTAAGGAATTGTACTCTGAAGGATAGGACCGAGTCATCACATCCAGACTGCTATGAAATAATAAGCAAAAGCCTTTGTTTTTCCTTTTTTCTCTTTCTTGTTTTGAATTGTTTAATTTCTAAATTTAAGCTTAACCTATTTAATGGTGAAGAAGGAGCATGAAAAGGCTATATCCACATTCATTTAGAAAAATTAAATCTGTCTTCAGAAAACACATACCCTCTTTACAATATAATTATTCACTTCTGTTCTAGTCTATACTATTTCAGTTGCTTATTTTGTACAGACAGCACAGTACAAAAAATTCTAAAAACTGCTGCATGAAAATAACTGTTAAGATCTTTCCAACTTTTTCAGTCACATATTAACAGGCAAAAGGCAGATAGGATAGCACCTTATAAGTGAGCTTGTTCAGAGAGGGGTGAGCTTTTGTAGGCTACAGCCTATTTCCACTCCATTCATAGTGTCTGATGAAGTAGGCTATATATGAAGGTTTATACCTCTGTGAACAAGTTAATTTGTAACATGCCTCCTATCTGACTTCTGACTAACTTCTGACTAATTTGACTAACTACCTCTCTCTCTATTACTAGGCAAATCAGTCCAATTTAAAAAAAAAACCTTTTGATGTCAGGTGCTGAGTTTTTAGTCCTTCCCTTCCCCTCCTGTCTCTTAAATAGATTAAGTAATTCCTGGTCTTCCCATACTTAAATCACTTTCCACTACATGGAGTTAGATGGAAACCATTTTAAAATTTTGTTTCTGAAGATATAAGTGCTATTTTGAACGCCATGAGATGCTTTCTAGTAAAAAAGTTGACTAGCTACATGACTGAAAAAATAAGATTAGCACAGAATACTTATTCATGAGTGGAATGAAGGGAGCATTTAACCATTTAATTCAGTGGTTAAATGCAGCAACATTTTGGTTCAGATTCAGAAAATGAAGCTCTTATTTAGTTCAGTCAATGCGGAATGGGTACAATATGTACAACCCTACACTCTACTCCGAAACAGAGGTATCTTTTGAATGTTAGGTAAAACTATACACTAGAGTAAGTTAAGTCATCATATGGGTGGCATGCCCATAGTTTTTTGGGGCAGCATTTGCTCAGTGCAAACAGGCTACTACCAGTGCTTCACCCCTTAGCAGAGAGGCACAGTAATAGCACAGGCCGCAGGCAGCTATTTTGGGAAGCTTGGTCATCTGTCTATTCCAAATGCCTGTTTAAATTACTCACATCAGTCTTCTACATTAGTGGAAAAAATAATGTAAGTTACACACTAACATTTCTGCCAATGTGTTTTTTTACTCAGGAATTAATCAATAAAATTTGAAATATTTTTAAAGTATCTGAACACCGGACCACTGTACTGGGAAAGAAAAAAATGGTAAATGGAAGTTCTACTCTGAAAATTGGTTCTAAATAGTGACATTATAGGGTTTTGCTTATGTGTCTTTTGTACCAAATAGGCTTAATTTACAGCTAAAATATACTGCCTCTAATTTACAGCCTGCCCGCTAAAAATAAAATGGTGCTTTTCCTATCTTCTTCCACATTATTACCAGTAGTAAAGGTCATACAGATCAAATAAGGTCCTCATTGGGTGCGTCTACACAAGCTCATGTGCTAATGCTTAGTAGAATTAGTCTACTGAGCATTGGTGTCACTAAAAAGGCATTCACTGGCACTACTGTGCAGTAGTGCTGGTTACTATCCATTGAACTTGTACCTGTTATTACAGCTACTAAACTTAATGCACCATAAGTATTGTGCATTAATGCATGTGGAGATGTGCCCACTGGCACCAGCAAAAATCCATTGTTTTCAGTAATGCTGTAAGTCACTTGCATCCCTTCAATTATAGAAGCATAACTTCTTAATTTGACAAACAGAGGAACAGAATACAGTTAAGTCGCCCATTGCCTTCTTGATTTAGAGTAAAAAATGGCTCATTTTGTTCCTAAAGTTAGAAGATTTGTCTCAGTAAGAGAAATAAATATGTTTCATTAAAAGTTGATTTGAAAATATAAGTATTGTCTGTTTGAATTATAGAAGGAGGCAAGTCAGGATAAGATTAAAAAGTGCTCTTTGACAAAGCTCTCCCATAGATTAGCAAGAGAGCATGGAAACCTTTAAAGGTAGAACCATTTTCCTAATTGTATCCAATAAAGTTTCTTCTTTGAAGTTAGAATAAAGTTATTATTTGCCTTTACATTCCCTTTACATTTTTACAAGATTGAGACAGATTTTGAAAAAGGTTACCTTGGACTCTTTGTGCAAGTGTTTGGGCTCCTAAAACCAGATTATTTCATGAACAAATGGTTAGGTGCCATTCCAAATACTCTTTGAGCTGCACAAGAAGTTACAATAGCTGCAAACACAAGTAGGCAGTCTAAAGGGCATGCAGTTTGCACACAGAACCTGGCCTTTCCTTGAAAAATATTGGTACTAAATAGCAAACATAGTATTAAATTTAGCATCTTCAATCCAAATAAAAGTGGCATACTTTGCAGGATTCCCTTTTGGAACCACACAGAAGATCTTCATTTGATATTTTTCTTTCACCCTACAAATGCAGTTCTGTCCTTGATGTTAATGCAGGTGAAGGGAGACAAGAACATTGAGCCAAGATCCTTTAAACAGGTCTGGGAGGAAAAATTATGCCCAGTATGTTTAATTAAGAAATTTACAGGAGGTGCTGAATAATTACTTTGATTAAAATATAATTAAACTCAGTGATCCCTTTTTATGGACTAACAAAGTAAAAATGAAATGGGTACTTCTTGAGAGTCACAGTTTCTTCCTCAGGCCACTCTGAGAATGGGATTCTTGAAAATATGCCTAATTTATCTTTAGTTTGTATTGTTCCATTTAATAAGCTCATCTAGGGTGTCTATGACTTTTTTTTTAAACTGCTGCTCTGCTGCTCTAATACGATTACCACTTCTAAATCCTGCACTAAATAACAAAGATAAATGGCTGTACATTTTCAGAGTTCCATAGAAACAGAAAAGCATGCCATGAATTGGAAAAGACGAAATCTATTTTAAAAGGACAATATGTAGCAGCAAAAGTTTATGAAACAAAACCCTAAAACATAAATGAAACATGGTATACAAATGCTATGCAACATCAGGACAAGGAACAATGACAGGAAGCTTTGTAAACCAGTCTCAAATACCATTATTTTTTGTGTCAGCCTGGATTAATTTGTTTAATTTTATTAGACCTAAGTATTTGCATTTAAGGTGTATTTTTGCTTCTGAAAGGTTTGCTTTCAAACAGTATTCATTGGCAAAAGTATGTTTTCATCATAACCTCAAGTGGAAAATGTCTGTTCCTAGAAGTACTAGTGCTAAAGCACTAGCTAGTATGGAAATAACAGAAGGCCTGAGTTTTAAATACTTGTGCATAAAAAGTACTTGTTTTAGTAACCACCAAAATCCATTATAATTGTACAAACAATGGAAAACCTGGAAAACCAAGTATATTGGAGCATATCCAATTGCAACAGTTGTGCTGAAAAAATTGGTTTTGAAATATGTCATGTTAAGCCCTATTGACTCTACAAAAACAAAACAGACTTTTTGTTGTAAAACATGCTTGTGACCAAATCAAGTAATAAGAATGTACTCTTTCTTTGGCAGGGTGTCAAGAACCCCAAATATTTCCTAGAGGAACCATTAGATTATCTAATCTCATTGCCCATATATCATAGTCCATATGTTATAACCATGCTAGAGATCTGCATTATGGCTCTTTGACATTTTTTTTTTCTGTCCACAAAAGCAATTGATGAAAGGCAGTTAAAATCTCTTTAAATAACCATGGCTTTCAAGTATTCTGCTGTTGCTGTTAAATGGTGCTTGACAAAGACACACTTTTTCAATTTTTTGTTTTGTATTACCTATTCTGCATAACCATGAGCTAATCCAAAGCTGTGACAGGACAGATCAGCCTTAATGTAGCATACAAGACGAGGACAGGCAGTGAAATCTAAATCAGAAATGTTGGCTTTTTGTCTAGGTGTTGGCACAGGGGCCTTCATCTTGTTCCCACTGCATCATTCTATTTAGTGAGCTGAACACAAGCCAGAATGTTTGATGGCCATTAATGATCAGATGTTGTGCTGCTGAACCTCTTGTGAGAACTCTGCTTGGTGCCTCCCCTCCCATCCTCACTGCCCCTTTCCATCTCTCTCGCTTCACCAGCTTTGACTGCGGAGTCTATGTTTCAAATATTTGTTTGGAGCAGAAGGCTCTCTTACAATCTCCAAACAAACCTCACAACGAAGGGTGAGGATTTGGAAGGTGGAAGAGAGAACTACATGCATATTTATTAATTTTATAAATATGTGCTATTAGATTCCAAAGGCAGGTGGGGCGTGTGTTTTTAATTTGTTAGCGTTCAGGTAGCAGGGTTGCCACTTATGTTTGGAAAATAATACGCTGGTTTTAAATCCATTGAAGAATTTTTTTTTAGCATCTTCAATAATCAACATTTGCATGATAATTTGCATAATTACCTTGAGATGAAGCCTGTTAACATTGTCTACATAAAATGAACCTTTATTTTTTAACGTTGTTGCAAAGCTGCGTGGAAACTGTAATGTTACTAATAATATTTTGCACTTTGAAAGAACCTTTCAATTGAGTGTTTCAAAAGCACTTCACAAAAATGACAATTATCTCGTTTTGTACATGAGGAAACCAAAGCCCAGGGAGGTCAAGG